CTTGGTGGGACCAATAATGCACTGAGGTTTATCGAAAAAAGTCCGAAGCGTTTAAGCTTTTCCGGAAACGTGGAACACCCGTGCATTTCAAAACGTACTCGGCTCTTGAACGCAAACTCAAGAGCCTCATAAAAGCTAAGAAACGCGGATATTGGCGGCAGTTCGTGGACGGATTATCGCGCGAAACGTCGATGAATACGCTTTGGAACGCGGCACGAAGGATGCGTAACCGGTCTTCGAACAACGATAGCGAGGAGTACTCAGATCGTTGGATTCTCAAGTTCGCACGAAAAGTATGCCCTGATTCCGTGCCGGCACAGATGATTCCTCGCGAAACGACGAATTCGGGAGACGAGATCAGCCAGCCTTTTTTAATGCTAGAACTCTCACTCGCGCTCCTTTCGTGTGGCAATTTGGCTCCGGGGGCTGATAGAATCAAGTTCAACTTGTTGAAGAACCTCTGAGACGTCGCTAAGAGGCGCATGTTGAACTTGTTTTGTCAGTTCCTGGAGCTCAATATTGTTTCGGATGATTGGAGGAAAGTGAGAGTTATAGCCATTAAAAAGCCTGGAAAAATCGCGTCAGATCATAACTCGTATCGTCCTACCGCGATGTTATCGTGCATTCGAAAATTGTTGGAGAAAATGATCCTTTTTTGCTTGGACAAATTGATTGAGACAACCACCTACTCTCAGATACTCAATTTGGTTTCCGTAGGGGCAAGGGAACGAACGACTGTCTCGCGTTGCTTCCCACAGAAATTCAGTTGGCTTTTGCTAAAAAAGAGCAAATGGCTTCTGTATTCTTGAATATCATGGGGGCTTTTGATCCAGTATCGGTTGAAGTCCTTTCAGACAAACTCCACGCTTGTGGCATTTCTCCATTAATTAATAACTTTTTGTACAATTTGCTGTCAGAGTAACATATGAGCTTTTCTCATGGAAACTCTACAGCTTCTCGATTTAGTTACATGTTAGTTAAGCCCCCTTTTGTATAATTTCTAATTCAGAGGAATTGACAATTGTCTAAGTGACAACTGCACGTTGCGACAACTTGCAGATGACTGTGTAGTGTCTATGACATGGCCCAAAGGGGTCGACCTGCAAGGACCCTTACAGGATACCATAGATAATTTGTCTACTTGGGCTATCGAGCTAGGTATCAAATTCTCCTCGGAGAAAACTGAGTTGGTCGTTTTTTTCTAGGAAGCATAGCCCAGCAGAACCGAAGCATCAACTTTTGAGTAAGTCGATCACTCATTCCATGTCTTTCAAATATCTTGGGGTCTTGTTCGATTCAAAATGTACCTGACGATCCCACATTGAGTATATGAGACGAAAATGCCAACAAAGGATCAATTTTCTCCGAAAAATTACCGGAACGTGGTGGAGAGCTCATCCACAAGATCTTCTTACGTTGAACCGGAAAATGATTTTATCGGTTTTAGAATACGGTAGTTTTTGTTTCCAGTCGGCGGCTAAAACTCACATAATCAAACTGGAATGGATCCAGTATCGTTGTCTTCGTATCGCGTTAGGATGCATGCACTCGACGCATACGATGAGTCCAGAAGTGTTGGTGGGCATGTTGCCACTATCGGATCGGTTTTCAAAATTGTCCCTGAGGCTCCTCACCCGTTGTGAAGTTATGAACTCACTGGTAATCGAAAACTTTGAAAAGCTTCTTGAGCTGAACCCTCAAACTCGTTTTATGTCATTGTACTACGTGTACATAACACTGAATGTCAGCCCTTCACAGCATAATCCTCATGCTTCTCCGACTTCGGCAATTCAGTTAATTTTGATGTATCTATGACGCGGGAGATTCGTGGGATCCGAGAACATCATCGTTCCATGATTGTTCCGTCAATTTATGCTGCAAAGTTTGGCCAAGTTGATTCCGCAAGATCGTTCTTCACAGATGGATCATTAATAGAGGCGTCCGCTGGTTTTGGTATTTATAACGAATTTCATAGCGCCTCTCGAATGCTTCAAGCTCCCTGTTCCGTGTATATTGCTGAGCTGGCGGCTATATACTATACGCTAGAAACGATCTCCTCACTTCCACCAGATCACTATTTTATTTTTACGGATAGTCTCAGTTCTGTCGAGGCTATTCGCTCTATGAGTCCGGTAAAGCACTCCTCGTATTTTCTAATGAAAATACGAGAGCATCTAAGTGCTTTATCTTTAAGATCTTTTTTTTTTTTAACTCTTTATTTGTTCCAAATTCAAAATAAATTACATTTCATTTTTAACCTAGGTGCTCCAGTTACTGCAGTAACGTACCAGCCTTAATTGTTATGATATATATCTAAGTGTTTTTACATTGTTCATGTCTTGGCAATTAAGTATTTTAAACAGGTTTTTTAACCTGCATGTCAGTATAACAATTGATATCTTAAAACTAAAAACTAAAACTAAATCTTATCTAAGTATAAAGGGAATTAATCGTTGCAATTGAACGATTTTTGCCTGAAATTATTCATTATTTTGTTGGACATTTGTTCTAAAGTCTCAACATTCGAAATTCTATGTACCTCAGTAGTACTGTACCAGGGAGGCAACTTCAAAATCATTTTCAGAACTTTGTTCTGAATCCTTTGAAGTGCTTTTTTCCTGGTAGTGCAACAACAAGACCATATTGGCACACCGTAAAGCATGGCCGGTCTAAAAACTTGTTTAAATATTAGAAGTTTATTCGTCAGGCAAAGTTTGGATTTCCTCTTTATAAGAGGATACAAACATTTAATATATTTGTTACATTTGGCTTGAATGCCCTCAATGTGATCTTTAAAAGTTAATTTTTCGTCAAGTATTAATCCAATGAAGTAATGAAATTGGGTTGTTAGCGGAATGCTTTAATAAAACAGCAAAAAAAGGTTATCTTCCATTTAATTCCACTTAATTAATTTTGGTATCCATTAAATGGAAGATAACCTTTTTTTGCTGTTTTATTAATCCAAGATATTTCACTTGGTTTGACCAGAAAATTGGAACTCCGTTCATAGTGACTATGTGACTACTACTAGGTTTCAAAAACGAAGCTCTAGGCTTATGTGGAAATATTATAAGTTGAGTTTTGGAAGTGTTGGGAGAAATCTTCCATTTTTGTAAATAAGAAGAGAAAATATCTAAACTTTTCTGCAGTCTGCTGCAAATAACACGAAGACTTCTTCCTTTAGCGGAAATGCCTGTGTCATCAGCGAACAAAGATTTGTGGCAACCCTGAGGCAAATCAGGGAGGTCCGAAGTGAAAATATTATACAATATAGGCCCAAGAATGCTACCCTGAGGAACTCCTGCTCTAACAGGTAGTCGATTAGATTTGGAATTTTGATAATTTACCTGCAGAGTTCTGTCAGTTAAATAATTTTGAACTAATTTCATAATATAAAGTGGAAAATTAAACTTTTTCAATTTAGCAATCAAACCTTCATGCCAAACACTGTCGAATGCTTTTTCTATGTCTAGAAGAGAAACTCCAGTTGAGTGGCCTTCCGATTTGTTTGAACGAATTAAATTGGTAACTCTTAAGAGTTGATGAGTAGTTGCATGCCCATGGCGAAATCCAAACTGCTCATCTGTAAAAATTGAGTTCGTATTGATGTGAAGCATCATTCTATTCAAAATTATCTTTTCAAAAAGTTTACTTATTGAAGAAAGCAAACTTATTGGGCGGTAGCTAGAAGCTTCAGCTGGATTTTTATCCGGCTTCAAAATTGGAACAACTTTTGCATTTTTCCATTTATCAGGAAAGTATGGCATAGGCTTTTGAGGTTTTTTCAAAATTTTTGTGAATTTCCAAAAGGGTTTGGAACTCGGGTCTAATTTAGAAATATTATTTTCAAAAGTTTTGTTCCTCAGGGCAGAGAATTGCTTTTTAATTTGTTTTTGCAAATCCCGCCAGATAGCCTTCATGGCAGGATCGCGTGTTCTTTGATATTGTCTCCTACGGACATTTTTAAGGCGGATCAAGAGCTGAAGATCGTCGTCTATTATAATTGAATCGAATTTAACCTCGCATTTTGGTACTGAGGCAGCTCTTGCTGCAACTATAGAAGTAGTCAGAGATTCAAGAGCATAATTAATTTCATCTTTGGTTTGCAAAGGAATGTTTGGATCGAAGTTATATTCCATAAATGTTCGATACTGCTCCCAATCAGCTCTATGGTAATTGAAAGTAGAGCTGTTGGGATTACAAATTATTTCTTGGGATATTTCAAAAGTTACTGGAAGGTGATCAGAACCGAAGTCAGCATGGGAAACCAATTGGCTACAAAGTTGACATGAATCAGTTAAGACCAAATCAATAGTTGAGGGATTTCTTGCAGAAGTAAAGCATGTTGGGCTTTTTGGATATTGAATAGTGTAATAACCTGCAGAACAATCATCAAACAGAATATTACCATTGGAATTGCTTTGAGCATTATTCCATGAGCGGTGTTTTGCATTAAAATCACCAATAATGAAGAATTTAGACCTATGACGGGTAAGTTTCTGGAGGTCACCCTTGAGAAAATTCTTTTTCTGGCCTACGCATTGGAATGGCAAATAGGCAGCTATAAACGTAAGTTGTCCAAATTTTGTTTCAACAGAAACTCCCAAAGTTTCAAAAACTTTGGTTTCAAATGAAGAAAGAATTTTATGTTTGATTCGTCTATGAACAATGATGGCAACGCCACCACAGGGTCCATCAAGACGATCATTTCTATAAATCAAGTAATTTGCGTCCTTCTTAACCTTATGGTCAGGTTTAAGGAACGTTTCAGTTATAACGGCAATATGTTAAATAGCTCGTCTTCATTATCTTTAAGAGATCGAGCATTCCAATTTACAATATTTAATGCTTTAAAATCCATTACTGAATTTTAAAGTCATGACAATATTATTTGCAAATTTTACTCCAGTTTGAATAGCATCAAACATGGAGTTAGATTTAAGCATATCAGAAATCATGTCAATTAATGATTTCTGTAAAAATTCCATTTTAGGGGCAGTAATGCTTCCTAAGTCAAAATTGTCAAAATTTCCGTTAGAATTACTTTGGTTAGTATTTTGATTTCTACCCGGTGCAATAGCAGCATAGGTAGCTCCATTAACTCGCTGAACATTGTTAGCAGCGAAAAGAGTAGGTACAGATGAAAAATTTGAAGCAGGGGTGATATTTGTACCTACGGGTACGAATGTAGAATTTGTTCCTCGCTGACCGTTGAATTTGTACCTGTTCGGAAACGTGGAGCGTTTCTTACCTGTCGGTTAGAACGAGATTGTAGGATCGGTTTGCGAGTCTTACATTCCCAAAAATTGGATTTGTGGTTTTCACCACAATTTGAACATTTAAATTTCTCATTTTAAGATCTTTTGTCATTACCTTTGCATGGGTCCCATCTCATTGCTCGATTCCGGGCAATGAGAAGGCGACCTCACTTGCTAAGGTGGGCGCTATGGAAGGCGATATTTACGACCGACAAATCGCCTACGATGATTTTTTCTTCATTTATCGTCAACAGTCACTCGTCTGCTGGCATAATAAATGGAGCGAAGGGAGTTTGGGACGATGGCTATACTCGATCAACCCTAAGGTGTCGAAGAGTCCTTGGTTCAAGGGGTTAGATGTGGATCGAGACTTCATTCGTATGATGTCTCGCATCATGTCCAATCACTACTCGTTAAACGCTCACTTGTTCCGTGTTGGGCTGGGGAACAGCAATCTCTGTGAATATGGACAAGCTTACCAGGACGCAGATCACATTATTTGGTCTTGTGCTGGGCATCACGGAGTTGTATGATTCCCTTTGGGCTCGAGGTAGACAACCTTGTGTTCCAGGTCGGGATATTTTGGGTTTATGAGACTTATATATGTTTTCTTAAAGAATATTAACCTTAGATTGTAAATTTGACTAACCTTGTGTTTAGTTTGTGTTTTGTTCGTGTGGTTTTTTTTTTAATGTTTGTTTCTGTAATAGTTGCATAATTTTACTGCGGATACCAAATTGAATAGAAATAATTTCATGAAATATTTGTATCGTAAATCATAACTCAAACCTCCTTCTCCCTCTCCCCATCCATATAACTGTAAATCTCTACTAACCTCGAGACGACCGCGAGTAATCGGTTCAATTCCTTTAACTCTAGATTTAAGACATTAATTATGTATAACTCAAATGATAACTTGGCTCTGTAAAGTTTATTTGATTGAGCCTGTATTTGCAATTAACACAAAAAAAAAAAGAAAAAAAAAAAGCACTTTTGTGAAACGGTTTACACTGATTGACGACAAATAAATAAATAAATTTACCCAGCTTTGATATTTGTCTGCAGCAGCTCAATTTCAGTCATAACGCTATCCACAAAGGCTTCTATTCTGTCGACGGTTCGAAAGGCCTAGGTCCGGCTCGTATTCCAGCTTCATTCATCAAGAATTGTGCAGCATCATTGGCCTCTGCCATAATGTCTATCATCAATCGTTCACTTCTAGATGGCGTATTCCCTGACACCTGGAAGCTTTTATCCAACAGACGAACAGAACACTTTTTCTAAACTGAATTTTATTAGTACCACTAACTGGGTTTATCTATTGGTTTGCCCACCTTATTTGCATACCCTAAATTCTTATTACATTTATAATGGGTCGTAGAATTATCTATATTTCTCTCAAGTAAAAGTCGATTTTAATTATTTAATTCAGTTCAAGAAACGCATACTATCTTGTTTTTTTTCATCTTTCGTCCGGAATATTCAAAGGTTATACTAATTTAACATATGAATTGGTTCATTTACATTTAATTTTAATTTGCAGTAGCAAGCTATCCAAACCCTATCAACATATTTCAATTTTAAATGAGAGATAATTGCTTTATCTTATACTGTTGCTCACATTGCATAAATATTACAAAAATATAAGATAACAAAAAATGCAAGGGATTGGGAGGGACCATGAGGGCATCCGAATGAAGCTATTTGGATGGGGAGAGTGGGAATGCCAACTCCATGTTATTAACATTTCGCAATAAAGAGTGGGTTCTTCTCCTCGCTCATTGGGGCATCCTCTTTTGGATCGGTTGTTGACCAATTAATTATATGATTTGAGTAGTAGCTATACTGAAGATCCGAGAGATGTCGCCCCTTCAGTGGTAGGAAAATCTGTTTTGCAGTATGGAGAATATCAGAAAATCCACGATTTGTGACTAAACATCCTTTCACAGAAGGAAACAAATAAACGAGTGTTTACCTTATCACCATAGTAATGTACTCGTGCAATTTGTGTGCATCTAAAACTGCCCATAAAGACGATAATGAATAAAAACTGAAAATTTTCATGCATTTCCAAATGGTTTCCTACCATTCCCATACATTCGAAAGTGACTGGCCCTCTGGATGTGGATGATATCAAAAACAACAAAACATGATTAATTGTACTTACGGCGTTGCTGAAAGGAGATGCTTTAAAATCCCGTGGATACATATAAGTTTTACCCATCGATTCACCCAACCCGTTTTTGGTCGTTCGTACAGCGATATGTTAATAGAAGTTATTAAGCTTGATCAAGTCGAACACCGAGGAGAGCCCCCTGCTGTAGGACTTAGTTCCCGTGCTACAATGAGTGGTACGTACAATCATGCAAGTTCAACACTATCGCATTTAGTAGAAAGCGTCAACCGATATATTTCAACTACAGCCTATCTGGACAAAATATCGAACGCATAGATCAGGTGAGTGATCTTAGTGGGATATTGGACCGTGAACTCACTTTCCTACCGCATTGCGAAGATGCGTTAGCAAAAGCTAACAAGCAGCTCGGGGTCCTCTTTAAGCTTGCTGCCTTTACTGTACCCTAGTACGCTCTATTCTGAAATCTACCGTGATAGTATGGTGTCGATACATCAGAAACTGAATCGACCGCTTCGAGGCTGTACAAAAAAATTGTGCGTTTAGCTCTCCAGTACTTTCCCTGGCGCGATGCATTGAATTTTCCCCCGTATGAAAATCGCTGTAAGCTACTGGGAACTGATCCTACCCTGAAAAAAAGAAGATTGAACCTGCAGCCGTATTCGTAACGAACGAAATTGGTGCCCATCGCTGATTAGGAATTTGTTTAACGGAATTTCTTGCATTTAGCTACACGTAACACTCGTTATGGATAAAATGACCCAAGCTGATTCATGACACATCGATTCAATTAAATTACCAGCCGATTTAAAATCAATATATCTGTAACCACTCTGCAATGCCATATTATTAATAATCAACGACAATAAATTGTGCAAAAATGCATTCGGTCTGTCCAATAATTTACAAGAAAACTATTGTGATTTTTCATGATTCGCCATCATCATCACAACATTGGTTCCTGCCATCTGATTGATTGACCTATATTTAGGCTGTGAACCATTTGCCGAGTTAAAATTAACTCGTGGTTAAAAGTGACTTTTCGAAAGTTATTTTCTATGTTCGAAAACCCAACGTTGTCAAAATTTAACTTCTTGTCTGTCCAAAATAACCATGCTCGGATAGCAGGGTTCATCGATAACTTTCCATCTGTCAAATTTTAACCAAAAGTTAAAATAATCCACCAAATGGTTCAGAGCCTTAACCTCTCAGCACTCGCGCCCTCGCTCGCGCCTTTGTACAAAATACAACACAAAAAACTATAAGGGACAGCCCTATTGAGTTCTCCAAGCAGGATCTCACGAACACTACACTAATAATATAATTTTACACACACTAGCGTATACTGTCATGTGCACGGTAAGATTCAAACTCGCATTTATGAGTAAAAGTGAACCTATTGTCAATAAAATTGGCACTGCTAATTAATGAGTAATTTATTATACCAATTAAGTACTAACTGTTAGCTACTGTTAGCAGAAACTCATTGTTGTTAAAATAATTTACTCATTAATGAGTAAAGCCACTTTTATTAAAAATGGGTTAACTTTTACTCATAAAAGGGTATTTGACTGTTACCGTGCAAGCGTAGGGTTTGTTTTCGTTTTGTTGTTTATTTTTACTTTAGAATGACAGTTCTTACAGAAAACAAAAAAATTCTCACAGCTAACAAAAAAATTCATCTCACTAACCCACGCAAATCTCACCAATACGAACCCGCCTGGAGAGGACTATGTGGTTGTACGCAATTGGTGATTTAGGACTACGTGGTCTTATATAATAAATGTTATATGTTAACTGCAGCAAGAGCTTGCGTTTTGTGTAGGAATAGGAATTTGAGCGGGGTTCTCTCTGTTTATACTATTTAGTATGACTACACACACACTTAGAAAAAATCATGTAAATTTAGGTGCTCTGAAACTGACATATACGAGCGTCAATTTTGACATAAAATTGAGTCATAAAAGACGCAAAATTCAACTCAATCAAACGTACTTTTCGTCGAGTAACAAACTTTTTAGTCTCAGAGCACTTAATTTTACATGAAATATTTGTTTACGTCTGATCCTTTATGTCAAAGATGGATTGCGTCACGTGTAAAATTAGTTATTTCTAAGTGTGTATGATTGCCCTGAGAAGAACCTTTTGATATGAATTTTAGTTGGGACATGTTCAGAAATTTAACTCTTGAAAAATCTTGGTTGCCCTGAAAAGGGCCGATGGTAGTACAGGCTTAAAGCCTCTGGAAGATGATGATTATGTGTAGGCAGCTAGATCAACTATCCCATATTCTTCGGTTCTATGATTGGGTATTCGCAAGAGTCTCGGCCCGTTTGCTCAAACATTTTGGTCGATTTTTCACACCTTTTTTTTCCTCTTTTAGGCTTCATAAAAATAGTGTATACAAAGAATTTATAGATTTTATAGATCATTCATCCAATGAAAAAGGTTTTCTTTCGAATGGTCAAAGGAAGAAGTCGTTAAATTGAACCGTGTTTTTAATTGTACGCAGTGAGAGCTTCTCATGGCAGCCGGGACGCCGCTTCGAACAATGGCCTGTAGAAAGTTTTCTTGTGCGTGGATCTAAAAACACAATAAAGTAGACACTTATGTATACCTGTCAAAAAATGCGTAGACAGCGAGCTAGGACAACTTTAGGAAGGTACAAATCGGTTTTATCATCTCTCTTTACCAAACTCCTCCTTTGAAGAGAGATGGTGAGGGGTGTCCCTCCCCCACCACCACTGGCAAAAAGAGATCATCTCCGACCCGCTCAAGTACCGACGATGTGTTTCAAACAGTTCTACCGATTTTTACCGCACTCCAATTGTTATTTGAAGGAAGGCATCCAGTCGTAGGTTTGGAAATTGCAGCTATTGTTACCCCTACCACGGTATCGTATAAAAATTACCACTTTAGTCTGTTATTTGAAATTAGCAGAGATTTTAACTCGTGACTTTGGCGTGAGAGGTATGGATGCTAACCACTACACCGGGGTCGCCCCCAGTACTTCTTTATTAAATATCTATATTATTAAGTGGAAAGCAAAAAATCATAAATCAATTTTTGACTTTTTTACCTTCCACTTCATTTATTATCAAACAAAAAGGTGTCACACATTGTTTTGATTTGAACAATAATTTTAATGACTAATGTAATGCGAACGCTATTCTTTATGATTGAATGCTCAGTGTGATATTATCCTCAGATTATCTGTGATATTACTGGAATAAATCCGATCCGACCTTGGACTAACGCTCGGCTGAGCTCCTATACATCAGTAAGTGGCTGTTAGCAAATATTTTAAATTAATAAATTAATAATAAATTATTAAATTATAAATTAATGTATAATATTTGTTGCTAGTCAAGCTCTCGGAAAGCTAGTTCAATCGTTGTATTAGGCACTGATATCAACTTCAATTCAGCTTCAACGGCTGTTTCGTTTAATACTGTCAACTTATATTTGTTTAACACCTGGAATAAGTAAGTTAAATACTGGTTGATTGGTTGAAAATGATCATTGCTTTAAACTGTACCTTAGACAAGAAATATTGCATTTGAAAAAGTGCTATTTTGCGCCCTATGCAGCTTCTGCTTCCAATGGCAAATGGCAAACTTGCGTTGGCACTGAACGGTGTGAACAGAAGGTTTTTATCGTCTCGTCGTAGCCACCGCTGAGGTAAAAACTCATTCGGTGAGTAAAAATTGCCCTCGTCTCTTCCAGCCGTGTATAAAGATAGCAATGCGAGAGTCTGGAATAAAAGCATAATTAAGCAGAATGTCTTTTTGCTCAAATACCATATCCGAACATTTTTTGGAATGCAGTAGTCTCCGATAATGGCATCTGTATCCAGAAAGCGGCCGATAAATGGAGCAATAGGAAACATTCGAAGAGTTTCTCTGACTGTTCCTCGAATTAGTGGCGATTCCAAATAATCGCCTTTGATTTCATTACGAACAAGAGACTGAACAGCTTGGTTTTTGGCTAAAAGGTATAAGCACCACAAGGTCCCAAAAGCAGTCTAGAAGCATTTCAAGTAAAATAATTGACAAAAGGCATGCATTTTAATAACTAGAAATATTTGTTTACCGTATCACCAGCAGCAATAATAAAGTCTGCAAAAATTCTCTTTATACAATTCCGTGATGTGATGGAGTCTTGCAATTTTGATAACAATCCATCACCACGTTCGATATCATCTAAAGAAATATCGATTATGTTGTTAGCTAAAATGAAATCATCTTTTTAATTACACTCTCTAGAGCAAAATCATCGTACATACCTATGGAAAGGGTTTCTGGCACTATCTTTTCAAACTGTTTCCATGCGTCCAACTGTAGTCGGTCGGCTAGCTGAGGAGGAATGGCCATTAGCTTCGAACTATATATGAAGATCTGGTATACAGTACGAGAGAACTGTTCGACCAACTCGTTTAATTTAATCACGTTTTTCGGATTGTACGAGCTACCAAGCATTAAGCTAAGAATCACTGAAACGGGAAAAGTAATGGGATGAAATTTAAAAAGCGTTAAACAGAGTAGGAGACGAATGCAGTTTTATTCTTTGTAAACGTAATTATCAGTTATAACTGCAACTTCTTTCAGAAGTTTCTACCGCTCATACTTATCAAATCGTTTATTTATTTGTCAACGTCTTCAGTATGCTCGGATTTTTCAAAATGCTTTCAACAACTACAAATGTATCGAATACTACTCTACATGCTAATCAATGGCAAATACATCAAATGAGCTACGAAATCTTAAATCATCTGCATCTGCATGTGTCTTACAAGAAAGCTATGGCCAGACGCCAACTTTACAGGGGGACGAAGAGGGCCATATATATATATATATATATATATATATATATATATATATATATATATATATATATATATATATATATTTATTTTTTTTTTTATTTTACGGTTAGATTTTAACGGCTTTACTTCCCTTAAGGAACGCGTGATCAGGGATGTTATGCCTCAGAACCGGCGCCAACTGGGATTGAACCCCGCCCTGCTGAGGTGAGAGGTAATCACGCTAATCACACCACCGGCGCCGCTACCTTAATCGATTGGTTTTAAAATATTTTAATGAGTAAAATTTGAATTATTTGGTTTTATCCTAATTTTTAATACAAATATTAGGAAACGGATCCATATGTAAACCTGCTTTAATTTTTTTTTTTATTCTTTCGACTGAAATTGTTAGAACAGCTGGCAGCAAAAGATTGTAAACAAACCAATACTGTATATGGGTGCGTTCCTTAGAGAAAAAGGCTATAGAAAGATGGTCGCTGCTTAGGTTGCCGAGAATATGTTAATTCCCCTAGACAATTAAAAGGCAAGATCTCACTGACGAAAAAAGAAAACGGCAATCAAATGTCTACTGTTCTTTTCAAATAGACTACGTCTTACGGGAAGGTACTGGGGGTTGATCGAAAATCTAAAATTGCGACCGTCACGAAAAGGTTTAAGGTTTTGAACGCTTATAACTTTGTCATTTATAGATGCAATTAAAATCCAAATACACCAATCGATAGGAAATAACTCTCAAAATCTGCTATAGTAAATTCTTTTCCAATTTTACTTAAAAAAAACTGTTGAAAAATGTACAAATAAAAAGTAATAATGTTATCACTGTTTTCATGAAATAAACGTTCTCCCCAAACCCAGTCGTCATAATCGAGTACCATTTGTTTGCCCATCGTGCTGCTTGAATCTGAAAAGTTATAAAACATCACTGCCAGTAAAAGAAATCCAATAAATTACCATAAAATCACAACGTTATTTACAACGTAATTCACAGCGTAATTCACAACAATGAAAATCATCATGTGTCTCAACGTATTTTTGCTTCGGACGGCGGGTGAGCAGGTAGCAGTAGTAGCAGCAGTAGTAAGGCAGCGGATCCTGTCAAGCACCTTGCTCGTCGTTTCCGTCGAGATACCTGGCTGCTGTCAGCGCCGTCGCCTCGATGGCGCAATCGCTCCGAAGTGGATCAACCCCGTTGCCTGAATGATAACGATCCCGCGTTCTACAAATTTCGATTACTTTTTCGAAAGGACATCAGCTTTTGTTTACAACGCATTTTATCGTCGGTTTGGCGTAACTGATGGCCCACGGCTCAAAAACTTTGGTGACGAACCTGCTATTGTAATTTTTCAGTGTACCACATTGCAACACTACTACTGGATTGTACCATATGGCAACACTACTACTGGATTGTACTAGCATTTTCAAAAAAAAATGACAAAATTATACGCTTTTGCACACAATAAAAGATCATTGCACACAAAATCAACTTTGTTCAAATTAAATTTTATTAAAGCGAACCACATGATTTTGATTGATTTCTTCGCCAGTTAGTCATCTGTCACTTCGTTTGTGCTAACACCACTATATCAGATAGGCGAAAATTTCCCCTATCTTATGGTAGTGTTAAGCAAACCCCACACGCATCAATATATTGACGCGAAGGGGAATTATTGACAATAATATTGATGATGTGAATTCAGAAATATTGTCAATCTCGATGTATTGATGTCAATATAGATTGTATTGACAATACGATTATTGTCAATAAAAGCAATCGTGTAGGGTCCACTTTAGCATGCGTGAGTGAGCTAGCAGGGTTATTCTATCACTTTTAACCACGAGTGAAATTTAATTCACCCATTGGGACATAGCCTTGAAGTAAAATTAGGGACCATCCAATGACGTAGAATTTTTTGACCAATTAATCCCCTTTCCCCCACGTAGCGTGTTTTGCTATACCTAATACATGGCTTGTCTCACATGATCGAGCTCAATGCTCGGATGACCGCTCACCATTTCACCAATCAAAGGGAGGAGAAAAGCAGCGGTAATAAAAACGCTTACCAAATCTTTTTCCTCGTCAAAGTGTCGATCATTCGCTACCAAACTGTTGAGCAGTACAGTCGACATTTTTCTCTTGCTCTCTTCGTTCGTTTGATTGCGTTTTTCCGTTTATTCTCGCGTTGAATAGAGACGCTCTTGCTGACCCAGCCATTGGTAAAACATCGCGCGATGGCGCTTGAAACTGTCTAGGCCTGCAGACAACAGTGCGACAGCTGCGAAGAAGCTTGCTTGACAACAATCGGTTCTCGGTTCTGAAGGACGGTGCAGAGCCGGTGACGGAAACAACAGGACCGCCAGAGAAGGACAGAATGCCGCCTTTCTACGTAAAGGGCTTCCCTCCCGGACTGCGGGAAAAAATAAACTTTCAAATTACGCAGGGCGTCCGGTGCACCATCTAGCTGTGCACGGAAGGATACAAAATGATGGTTCCGGCGTTGTAATTTTACAAGGCGGTACAGACCATTCTGGACCAAGCACAGGTGGAGTACTTCTCCCATGACATCGAGGCTGTTAAGCCGTTCAAGGTGGTCCAGCGAGGACTATACAACAGAGACAAAGGCGACTCACAATGCGAAGGCCACCCACGGAAACCAACACCATCATCGGATAGGGGAAACTTCTACCTACACGATTATAGTTCGATTTGTGAGGAATGGGCTTTGAAACGGTTTGTTTACAAATGCTGATGGGCCTTTTCTATTGTTGATCCAGACTTACAATGCTTATCTCTTAGAATAAATAGAGGTGCCATCGAGTTTTTTTCAGTGCTAGGTACTAAAATTCGACAGTGATCGTTCAAAAGGGCCTACTTGCAATGATCGATTCTCTTTATCGATTTTTTTCTTTACATTGCTACAGCCACAAATGAAGTGACAGACGACTAACTGGCGAAGAAATCAATTAAAATAATGTGGTTCGCTGTAATAAAATTTTCTTAGAAGCTTGTGCCATCAGCCACCAGATGGGCTAGTATTTTTGTTTTGATTTGAACATAGTTGATTTTGTGTGCAATATGATCTTTGACACTGTGCAAAGAGTGTATCATTTTGTCATTTTTTTATGCATTTCAGTTTAGAGTAGAGTGAAAGAGATAGAACCAAAACATTCTAGTACATTTAGTGTTGAAATGTGGTACAATCCATTAGTAGTGTTGCCATGTGGTACAAGCCAGTAATAGTGGTGTTGCCATGTGGTATGGTTTTCGAGTCGCTCCGTCTGTCACTTCGTTTGTGCTACAGCTAAGCGAAACAATCCAAGCTGAACATTGCATTAGGTACTAAGTAACTATTCGTGCAAGCAACGTTTATTGCCTTTACCCTTAGCATAACATAATAATACCACAGACAAACAGACGTAACTCTTCATTGTGTATCTTCGTTCATGCATTTAACGGTTGATTTGAATATTATCAGTTCCGCGAACTACTCGCCGCAGCGCTGGCATCGGATCACTTTGACGTTTCTATATATTCTATAGAACTTGTATGCAATATTGTTTACGAGTTAGCGATCAAGCTTGTTTTCCGCGAGAAGCCAGATAGATGTCGCTACTGAGGTTATATGTTTTAAGATACTATGTTTTCAAGAACAAGTTTTTCAAAGAGTTACGTCTGTTTGTCTGTGATAATACTACCTGTCCATAGATGTCACCACTTGTCCATGTATAATTGTCGCTGTGTTATTATTTGTCAGACGTATGAATAAATGTATATAGTTCGTATGCCTCCGCCATGGCAGGATGGCCCAACAGCCGGTCTGTTTTTATAAGTTCAAATTAACATGATGAACAGTAATCACGGTTGACCCGGTGCATCCCAAACATTTTTGTTAAAATGAACAGGTCTATTGTGCGTCTAAAAAACGCAAACGAAATCTTAAAAAAAAGTAGAAGGGTCTCTGCCTAGGAGCACGAACGGGAGCTTGACGTAGGACCGCTAAGGCACGGAACAAATGTGAAGAAAATTTAGTTCTTTTAATTGATAGATTTGTAGTATTTTTTTTTTAAGCGAAAGTTGATGAAGAGAGTCAATCAAAATCACTTGCACCCCTGCTTCCAAGTTTGGTTACAAGATTACAACTCTGGAGAGCATTGTGTGTGGTCGTTGGGGACATGTGGTTTTGAATATGGACCAACAGGCAGATAAATTCTATTCTAACTTTTTACTGTAATAAGCTTGTTGCCACAGGAAAGGGCCGTCTTGTTGCCAAATTTGGTGATGATTTAACCTCCGAAACTGTACAAAGTTCGTCTGTCGCTTCAAAGCGTAGACGACATCGATGGCCGCTTACGCTCAGTATAGGTGACAGCATCACGAATCACATTTTCCAAGAACACCTTCAGCACACCTCGTGTTTTCTCGTAGATCAGACCGGAGACACGTTTGACACCGCCACGGCGAGCCAGACGAGAGCTTTTGCTGCTTCTGCTGCCTGCTCACCACGGCGTCTGAAGCGAAAATGAGTATAGGCTAGACAGCAGCGCACTTTTATATCTTTTCATGTTAAAGCAGAATGATGTGCAACCAAGTGGTACTCGAATATGACGACGGCGGTAAGCTACAAAGACTCCTCCCATCATGAGTAGTTTGCTATCAAGTAGCGACACTGGCTCCTTTCCTTTTGCGCAGTTTGCCAATTTCAACACCTGGAAAGTTAGCGGCGCCGGTGGTGTAGTGGTAAGCGTGGATACCTCTCACCACAGCAGGCCTTGGTTCAATCTCAGTCGGCATGTTCTGAGGCATAACATCACTTATCGCGCCTTCCTTCTGAAGGGAAGTAAAGCCGTTGGTCCCCGGATCATGAATTGATGGATCGATAGGTAGGGTCCAGGCGTGGGAGCTGCCTCCCTGGCGTCGGTAGCATTGGTGCTCAGCACGGAAAACA